TGGAGGCCCTGGCAGGAGCCCTGCGGCCGTTGGTGGGTCGAGATCCCAGCAGTCGGTGGGTCCGGCCCTGTGTCCAGCTGTGCGGATCCCCGTGCTGCCTCCTTGGAGCAGCTGTCGGGGAGGGGTGGGGAGCGCCGGTCCCCAGGCGCCGCCGCGAGCGCCGCGCTCGGGCAGCCTGCGTCACGCGGGGAGTTCCCAGCACATGGACATGTACTGCAGCTGCACGAGGGAGGGCAGGGTGGGGATGGGGTTCTGGGAAGGGCTGGGACCTTCTGGCTGCCAGATGGGTGGATCTGCTGAGGGTCGGCTCCTCCGAGACCCTGGGGGAGAAGGGGAAGGCGGCGGCGGAGCCTGCCCTGTGTGGGCTGAAGTTCTTGGCGCTCTTGGGCTGTTGGACCCTGCCCAGGCCCTGTTGAGGACTGGGGCTCCTCTGTGCTGGCAGGTACATCATGACAAGCGGCCGCACCATGGAGTCCACCAAGGAATTCTTCCTGAAGCACCGGTACTTTGGCTTGAAGAAAGAAAACGTGATCTTCTTCCAGCAAGGGATGTTACCAGCTATGGGATTTGATGGGAAAATTCTTCTGGAAGAAAAGGGCAAGATCTCCATGGCACCAGGTCTGTGACCAAGAACTGCCACTAAGGATGCGTGGGGTGAGATGCCTTTGAGCTCATCTGCCACGGTGACATCTCACTGCCCTGGCCTGCAGCTCAGCAAACAGCCCCTTTTCTACTAGCTTCAGCTTTCCTACCCTAAAAGCCAGCCCTTTTTACTAGCTTGGCTGCTGCGTCAGTGAGCTCAGGCCCCCCAAAGGGACTGGGGTGCTTGAGCCTGCTGTAAAGCAGCTTTTCACAGTGTGTCCTGGCTCTTGGAGGCCGCGGGCTGCAAGGTGCCCTACAAGACAGAGAGCAATGAGGACAACAGCTTCCCGGAGCCCTGGCCCCATGGAGGAGCTGCGTGGCTCTGGATGGATGGGATGGGGATGGGATAAGCAGGTGTTGCTGTGGCCCTGATGCTCTCCTCCTCCCCAGATGGCAACGGGGGCCTGTACCGGGCCCTGGGTGCGCAGGGCCTCGTGGACGACATGGAGCGGAGGGGCGTGCAGAGCGTGCACGTGTACTGCGTGGACAACATCCTGGTGAAGGTGGCCGACCCCGCGTTCATCGGCTTCTGCCTGGAGAAGGGAGCCGACTGCGGGGCCAAGGTTTGTCGGGGCCGGCGGGCAGCAGCTTCCACCCCGAGCAGCCACGTGGCCTCTTTGTACCACGGGGGATCCGTCCTGCTGCTTGAACCAGCTTTCCTGGCCTTTCCTTGGCCAATCTACTGGAGTCAAAGGCTAGGGCTAGAGAGCGAGAAAGCCTAGAGCCCCATGGGGAGTGGGGCTAGAAAGAAGGGGAAATGTAGCACTGCGTGCAGACTGGTGCTGGAGCTCAGGTGCTGTTTAGCCAGCACTAGGCCTGGTGTCTGGGCAGCTCTGGTACCCGGGGCACTTCTGCAGGCGGTGAGATGTCCCTGGCTGTGACGTGCTGGACCTCTGACCAAGATGCAGAGGGTGCAGCTGCCTCCTGATGTTGCACCCAGCCCTTGGTCTCGCGTGTACCTTGCACACCCGAAGTTTTTCTTCAGGTTTAGATCAACAGTGAAAGGGGCTGTGTGCTTGTGTTTGTGCTGGGCTGGGCTTGGCGCCTGCATGGGGAAGAGCCCTGACAAACAGGTGACAGGGCTCGCCGGCCTTGGAGCCCTCCCTGAGCAAGCTGCGGAGAGGGAAAGTAGTTCCTCCTTGTGGCCCAGGCGAACGGAGGAGAAAGTAAACCATTAAGCCGAGAAAGCCCGGCCTCCCTGCGATGGCTGAGGGCGTGCGCAGCTGGACTGGCAGGAGGTGCCTGCCCCTGCTAAGAGGGGTCGGAGTGGGGGGTCGGGTGCGAGGAGGAGGATGGCGAATCTCCACAGGCTGCTTTAGGGCTAGCATAGGATGGAAAGGAGCCCTGCGAGTGACAGCTCCACTGAGGCAGCGGGCGCCCGCAAGGGCTGGGCGGCAGG